CCACAGATGGCAACCTGGACGGAAGACATTACCACCAACAACAGAGGCACCGATCCATTCCAAGACGTCCACCGTTGGAGGTGAAATTCAAAGGGGAGCCAACACACTTGGGGTTTTTCCTAACCCAAGTCCTCAGCTACATGGAGGAATACGTGCAGGACATTCCCAGCGACAAAGCCCGCATCCGGATCGTGCAATCTGCCCTGGATGGACCGGCTGCAGATTGGGTGGTGAACTTGCATGACTCCAATGCCCCAGAACTCAAGTAACTTCAACCGTTTCATGTCCTCTTTGAGAAGACGATTTGAAGACCCCCTGGCTGATCGCAAAGCCCGTGAAAGGATAAAAACGATGAGGCAAGGCAAACGCCCGGTGGCTGAATATAACCAAGAATTCCGGGCCATTGCCAGCAAACTGAATTGGCCAGAAGACATCCTCCTTTGCCATTTCAAAGACGGACTAAACTATGATCTAGATGATGCTTGCCTGCCCCGAGGGGACCCACATCGACTTGAGGCATGGTACGTCTTGGCAGAGGAAGCAGAGATCGACATATTGAAGAGGCACCGCCGAGGAAAACAATGGAGCCGCCCCCCGCCTGAGCTGATACACGAACCGGTGAAATCATCGGCTACAGCCAAGAAGCAAATGGGGTGTTTCAAGTGCGGAAGAGAAGGGCATCGAGCTGTAGAATGCCGCTCAAAGGCCCCCCAGCCCAACCCAGACAGATCCCCAATCAACAAATCCGGAAAGTCTTCAGCTAAGCCAAAAAAAAAAAAAACGGCCATGAGAATGATGGAAATTGCAGAACCCCCCACTCCTGCTCACCAAGGGGAAAGAACTCCAGCCTACACCACAGGGCCGGTGGATGCCTCAGATGACAGCTCGGAGGGCGAACCCCTGGTAAGTGGATGCATCACACCCATCTTCAAAACAGTGACTATATTAATCCCCCCATGCCCGAAGCTGTGAAGGTGAAAGCCTTAATAGACTCTGGCTGCACCCGCTGCCTCATTAGCCCAACACTAGTGGGGAATCTGGGCATCCCATCCAGGAGACTGGAACAACCAATCTCATTTGGCCAGTTAGATGGATCCATAGCAGGGAGGGTGCCAGCTACCCTTACACCTCTCCCTGGGCAAATATGAAGAGGACATAACGTTTGTGGTGACCCCAGGTATGGAATGCCCAATGATTCTAGGGATGGAATGGTTGAAAAAATGGAACCCCTGGTAAATTGGAGGACGACAGAAATCAAATTCCCGAAGGGGGACCCTATGGACTTAAAACCCCAAGGGAGGCTACCAGAATCAAGAATAGAAAAAGCATCCATAGGAGAGGAAAAAGGATTAACAGAAAGACCAGAGGAATATAGAGACCTTGCTGAAGTCTTCAGTGAGGAGAGGGCGAATGAGCTTCCCCCCCACCGACCCACAGACTGTACCATTGAATTCAAGCCTGGGGCAAAACTCCCGAAGCCCAGATGATACTCCATGAGCCCAAAGGAGAAGGAGGAAATGGAAAGATTTATAAAAAAAAACCTAGAGAGAGGTTTCATTGAGCCAGCCAAGCCTAAAGTGGCTGCCCCGGTCCTTTTTAGAGAGAAGAAGGATGGCTCCGTACGTTTATGCGTGGATTATAGGGCCCTGAATACAATCAGTGAAAGCAACCTATACCCCCTGCCCCTCATGAAAGACATGCTGTCACACCTATCGAAAGGGAAAATTTTTTCCAAACTAGACCTAAGGGAAGCTTACTATCGCGTGAGAATTAAGGAAGGGGACGAATGGAAGACTGCATTTAACTGCCCCATGGGGTGCTATCAATTCAAAGTCTTGCCATTTGGCTTACAAGGGGGCCCTGCAGTCTTTATGCAATTAATCAATGACGTTCTAAGGGAGCACCTGTTTAAGGGGGTCCTTGTTTACTTGGACGACATTCTTATCTTTACCGAAACAAAAGAAGAACACGTCAAACTTGTCAGAGCGGTTTTAAAGAAGCTGCGAGCCGCCCACCTATATGCCACACTCTCAAAATGCGAATTCCACCAGGAAAGGATAGACTACCTAGGCTATCGCATATCCCCACAGGGCATTGAAATGGACCCAGAGAAGGTCAAAGCAGTACTAAATTGGGCACCACCCCGCACAAGAAAGCAACTACACAGTTTCCTGGGCTTTGCAAACTTTTACCGCCAATTCATCCCCTCATTTGCCCAGATAGCCTTGCCCCTCACTAACTTACTAAAAATGAAGGGAGCATCCTCAGTAAAACCTAGCCAGCCACTAACATGGACAATGGAGTGCCAAGCAGCATTTGAGAGACTAAAGAGACTTTTTTCTGCCGAACCAATACTAAGGCACCCAGACATGGACAAGCCCTTCGTAATACAGGCAGATGCAAGTGATGTGGCAGTGGGGGCTGTGCTATTACAAGAAACTGATGATGCAGTATTGCAACCCTGTGCATATACATCTAAGAAACTCACGGAAACAGAACCGCGCTGGCCCGTATGGGAGAAGGAGGCTTATGGGATACGTTGGGCATTACTCACGTGGCGACAGTTCCTGTAAGGCAACAAAATCCCCTTCCAGGTATGGACTGATCACAAAAATTTAGAAGCCCTGAAAACTCCCAGGAAACTCAATCCCAAACAAGCCCGCTGGTCCCAGCATTTTCACCAATTCCAATGTAAGCTCAAACATTTACCAGGAAGAAAGAACTTCCTGGCAGATGCACTATCTCGCATGCCCCAATATAACAGCGCACGCACCACAGACTCTAGACCAATAATGGCAGAGTCACAACTGGCAGCGCCAGTAACCACAAGAACCCAAGCCAAAATAAAACCACAACTGGACAGCCAAACTGGGATTGAATTCAGAAAAAGTTTGGAAACAGATGAATGGTTCCAGAAAAACAAACATGTGTGCACAATGAGAAACGGGTTGCCTTGGGTAGGGGAAAAGTTATATATACCAACAACTCAAAGACTAACTTTCATGCACCTTTGCCATGACACAAAATCAGCAGGGCATTTTGGATTTGTAAAAACTTTACATTTAATTAAACGGCAATTTTGGTGGCCATCCCTGAAAAAGGACATTGAAAGTTATATAGCCAGTTGTCCAAAATGTGCCACGGCAAAGAGGTTGCAAGGGAAATTGCCAGGACTATTGCAAACAGTGGCAAGTCCCTCAGACCCCTGGAGAGAAATAGCCATGGATTTTATAGTGGAATTGCCAGAAAGCAATGGGAATACTGTGGTCTGGACGGTCACGGACTTGTTTTCAAAACAGGTGCACTTTATCCCTTGCCAAAAGATTCCCACTGCAAAAGCCTTAGCAAAACTTTTCATCCAACACATTTACAGATTGCATGGGGCACCCCAACGCATCATCTCTGACAGGGGTGTGCAATTTACGTCTGCATTTTGGAAGGAATTTTTATCCCTCTTAGGAACCACTCAGGGACTGACATCTAGCCACCACCCTCAAGGAAATGGGGGGACTGAAAAAATGAACTCCGTACTTAAGCAATATTTAAGATGTTTTCTTAGTTTCCAGCAGACCGAGTGGGCGGACTTACTCCCTTTTGCAGAAGTTGCCTAGAATAATGCAGTCCACTCCAGCACAGGTTACACTCCTTTTCAAATAGCCACCGGTCAAAGTTTCAACCCCATGCCAGAATTAACCCCACACGAACCAACGATCCCCCCTGAAAGAATGGATGGAGAAACTACAAAACACCTGGCCAATAGTCAGAAAAGCACTAGATGAAGCTAGGCAGGCATACAAAACACAAGCCGATAAAAAAAGGGTTGAGCCTACACCATTCATGATAGGAGAAATGGTGTACTTATCTACAAAATACCTAAAGTCCCTACAACTGTGAAAAAACTTGGACCAAAATATATAGGGCCTTTTCCAATTAAAAAAATCATAAACCCAGTAACAGTAGAATTAGAATTACCCCAAAATCTCAGGCAAATACACCCAATTTTTCATTGCAGCTTGCTGAAAAGAGAGTATCAGTCACCTCTACGGCCAAAAATCCCCCCCCCCACCACCTCCACTCATGGTGGAGGGTGAACAACACTTCGAAATAAAGGAAATCCGTGATTCTAGGAGATATCATGGAGCAACTCAGTACCTAGTTGCCTGGAAACACCTCCCTCCCTCACAAAACGAGTGGGTCCATAAACGTCATGTCAGAGCCCCGAAGCTATTGAAGAAGTTTCACACAGAGTATCCTAACAAGCCTGACTAAATTTTATACTTGTTTTGTTTTCTTTCAGGTAGATCTCTCTTATTTTTAAGAGGGGCCCGATGTCAGAATCCAATTATATTTCATCTTTAATTATCAAATATAGAAACTCCCAATTCTGCCTTCACTGGATTCTGCCATAAGAGGGAGAGAAGGGGGAGAACAAAGGGGCTTTACGGCCCTCACTTCCTTCAGTATACTTCTAAGGAGCTGAATGCTGAATGTGTGTTTATTGTAACCTCAAAGCGTTAGCACCAAAGAACCTTACCATAACAAAGAAGGGTATTTGCCTTTCATGTAGTTATCTGAAGTCTCCATCCAGACGGAAGAAAGAAAAAAGGGGGTGGAATTGTGATACCTGAACCTATCACTGGAAGGGGGGTTGATTGGGTGGGACTACTGGGGAACCCCTTAAAACCTTGAATGGGAGGGCTTGGACCCCAAGTCCTGTCTAGCACGCCTGCAACCACTTCTTCTTAATAAAGGATTCCTGTTGGAAGAATTATTCCAAGAGTTCTGTCTTCTTAAGATGCAAAGTGGGGTGGGTCCTTACAGCTATCTTTCTGCCACTGATACAACTATTTCTATACAGTATTTTTATTAAATTTATATGCCGCCTTTCTCACTATCAAGCGACTATAAAGACTATATATCTGCAGAGTTCTTACGTATCATATATTTACTTATGTTGCTTCCTTGTTACATTATATATGCATAAATTTAAATTTCTCTTTTCAGGATAAGATACTTGAAGAACTTGATAAGGAACATACCACTCATGACTCAATGTCAGATTCCGAAGAAGATGGAATTCGCATTGATACAGAAAAAGCTCTTGCTGAGAAAGAAAAGGTTATTTTTAATTTTTTAATAGACCCATATTTTTTCTTCTAATGCTCCCTAGGGAACAGGATATATTAACCTATATAAAAATGTGTATTCTAAATCTCTAATTGAGAAGATTTTTTTCTTTATATTATGCCTTTACCTGTGAGGTGGTTTGGGCTGAGAGAGAGTGACTAGCCCAAAATCACCTACCTGCCTTTCATGGTTAAGTTAGGACTTGAAGTCATAACCTCTCACTTTCTAGTCTGGTGCCTTAACCACTACACCAAACTAGTTCTCAAGTTTCAAGTTCTTATACTGTTCAGTTATATGAATTTTGAAACCAAGTCTGGATTTTAGTAAAACCAAAAATATGTCTTGCTGTTCCTTAGTTTTTCATAAATTTTTTATTCATATTATAATGTGATTGCCTGTGTCTACGGTTACATTAAGCGTCTTATTATTTTTTTCATAAGATTTCAAAATTGTCTATAATAAGTAGTGTTCTAAATCAAATTAAAGAGCTGTTTGGAAAAAAAATTAGAATATTTTACAATGCAGTAGTGACCATGATTTAATATCCCTATATATCTATGTCTTCTTTTTGTTTTTCTTCTACCATGGGTTTTGTAGATCCTGAAATTTATACACTTGAAATTCTAAAAAATATTCCTTCTTGAATCTATCTAAGTGATGATCAAAACTGGTTGATATGTTTTCATTGCCATCTGATCTATCTGTTAGAATAAAGCATGAAAACTAATATGCATTATTATGCATCTTAATGTTTAAAAAAGTAAGAATTGGAAGATGATAGATTGTGAAATATATTGGCCTTCTGTCTTTTTCCAATTTTGTATCTAGTCCTCTTTATTTTATCTTTAAAACAGTCTCATGAGTTAGGTTACAGTGAGAAAGTAATAGACCAAGCATCCTTAATGAGTGGTATTCTTCCTTTCATTTGTCTAGCTCTAGCACTTGAAAATAATTCTGTTGGTTAAAAAAATAGGCAAGCATTGTTTCAAAGACACCAGAAAAAGAGAGTAAGTGTTTGTAATATATTCATCTTACTGTTTATCACATTTGTTTTAATAGGGCAATACTTATTTTAAACAAGGAAAGTATGATGCTGCAATAGAATGCTATACAAAAGGAATGAATGCAGATCCTTACAATCCAGCTTTACCTACTAATAGGGCATCTGCCTTTTTTCGGCTGAAAAAGTAAGAGTTTGTTGACTTTCATCATATTTTACTTCAAATATAATTAATTGCAGAGGGTACTGAATTTTCACATATGTTTTATTGGGATACGTTTACCACAGAAATTTTGTCTTGCTAGTTTTAACCTTATAATTTTTTAAATTCTTTGAACATTTTAACTCTTTATAACAAAAAGCAAGATTGTTTTTCCTGTTGGAGGGCAGTGCAAAATAGAGTGCTATGTGAAGAATGCAGAATGTACTACAAGCAAAGAAAAAAAGCTTTTTAAAAAATATATGTGCTTTATGAAGAATTACCTCATTCCTGATGCATTTTTATTGCACATCAAATTTCACCTCAGTGATGCTCAGGGAAATGCATTTTAAAACTCCCATTTTAGTATTAAAACAATTCCATGAAGTGAGGTAGAGGTAGACCAAGTGATAATGATAGACCCCGTGAATTTAATGCCTGAATAGAGTTTGAACAATTTGTGCTTGCATTCTGTTTTCCTTTAATTTGGGCTCTGGACAAGAAAACCTCTCTATCAAACAGACAAAATCTGGAAAGTTCGCTCTAGGAAATCATTCTTCACTCTTGTTACTTTTGTGACACTGTTACTTGGAACAGTGCTAGATAAAAGAAGGGAATCAAATTTCTTTGTTTTCTGCTATTTATCAGGTTTCTTTCCATGCTATTTTTAGGTTTTGGAAAACAAGGATCTTTTGCTAATGTTGTGTTAATTTTGCTTGTTAACAGATCTTTTTAAATCCTTCACAATCTTTAGTGTATAACAGGTAGTCTTTGATTTATGATGATCATTGAATGGCAAAAAGATGCCCATTTGGGAGAATGGATTCGGATTTAAGACCACAAGGTTTGCTTAACAACTGCATAAAATGGTTGAAAAAGTTGGGTCTGGTCATGTGGTGTCTTGACTTACAACTACAATGACTTACAACCAGGATTCTGGTCCCAATTGTGGTCGCAAGTTAATGACTACCTATATACTGAAATATTGTCCATAAGTGTCACTTCTGCAACTAACACTGCTGTTTGATAAAGTAACTTCTGATTTTTCAAACTGACTTTGACATCTAGGATTCCACAAATTATGTAATGATCAGCATCTGATTGAAATGAAAAGTAATAAATTAAAAATTGGGAACCATGGGGGCCGCAGTTTACCCACGGGCCACAGAGAGCACTCCACGCCAGTTGATCTTGCTGCTGGTCATCTTTCTTTACTTTTACTTGTCACAGCATTACAGCCTGCCTAAAATATCACTAATTCCAATTTGTGTATTAATCAGGTTTAAAATGGTTAACCATAAACACAGATCATGTGAAATTCACCAAATTTCCTTAGATTTGCATAGTAGGTGAGGAATATGGCCAGAGCTAGCCTTTATTTCCCCACACATTCTCGGATTCTAAATTAATATTTTTGGAACCTGAAAAAAGGGTTAATATTTATTTTTTCTTTCCTAGTAGGAAAGAAAAATTCTTTCCTAGTAGACCCTAGACATACTTAGATATTATATCTTATGAATTTAGTCTAGAGGTTCATATAAACATCCTGTTTTCTCTTTTATTACCTAGTAACCTCATTTTATTTCAAATAAAGGAATTGATTACAAACTAAATTGAAGCACCAGCATCCTATCTGTGGTTGGCTGGTGCTCTCCTTCCCAAAATTGGACCGCCAATGTGAGAATTTTTTTTTTACACAGTCCTTCCAATGTACAGTAGTACACTATGTCTTTCAACAGCCTTGATAGCTTATGAAGTTAAGAATAGAAGTTTGTTTTAAGCTTTTCTCCAATTTTTCATTGATGGCTTTGAGAAATAATATGATGGATCTAGCTAAGGTCTAGCTAAGATAATGGATCTAAAACACCCAGGTCCAAATCCTCCTCTATGGTAACTTGCTAGATAACTTTCGTTCCATTGGGGGACCTTGGAAAGGTCCTTGCTCCCTGTAGGGGCAACGAGGGGACCTCCTGTTTGATCGTGGGAGGGTGGCAGCCCTTTCATTTTGATCCAGGAAAGCCCTCCAAACCAGCGGGGGAAAGACCGGCCATACCAATATGGTCAGTCACTAAGCTGCTGACAGCCAAAGTCAAAAGCATCACCAAGCAGCTTTAAAGCAATGTGGATGAAACTGGGTGAGACCTGATCCTCTCTTTAAGATTTTAAGTATTTTTTCCTGTAAAAACTGCCCAAGGTATTTTTCTCCCTGTGAGGAGAGATGGAAGGGAATTTTTACTCCACCCTCTAAGAAAAGTGGCAACTAAATACCCAGGGGAAACAGAGCAACTATAAGAACAATTTTAATCTAATTGGGTATATATTCTTTTGAAACTTGGGGACTAAAAGTGTTCCTTTTCTCATTGGAGACGTTTGTTTTTTATTTATTTTTTTAAAAAAAGACATGAAAAACCACCATATAAATTTTGGACTTAAAAAGCTTAAAATGGCATCGGTGACATCTTGTGGCAAAGTATGGTATTACAATTTGTTATTGCCTAAAAGAGACTTGGCTTGAAGCCCAGACTTCAGATAAAATTTCTTTGACCTTGACAGTTATCACCTGTGAAAAACTCAGCTGTAAAGAACGGACTTCTGGGCAGCATATCTGGCCTGCTTGAACTATGAATGTAAACTTTTACTGACTCTCAGAGCTATACTTGGGGAATTGCTTTCCTATTTCTTTATATGAGAAGCATATGTATTATACGAGATTATGGAACATCTTGGACTATAAACTCTTACTTGATAAACAATTTCTACTATAAAGACCACCTATAACATGTGAAATAGATGTCCCATACCCAGCTACAAAAGAAGAAAAACTATTTTTAATGTTTTAACGTTATAAAGTCTTCAACTTAACATACTATTAAGAGGATATGGATGAAGTTCAGGAAAAATTCTTTCCACGTTGAAATCAATACACAAAACCATCCTTTCAGCTTGTGACGAAATAAGAAGCAACATGAAGGAACAAGATGCCAGCTTAAATATACAAACCCAAATCTTGACTACAACCAAAGAACTAATAATGCAGAAAATAACAGGAAAATTGGAACAACTAAACACCAAGACAGAGGATCCAATTGACCAACAGACCCAGCCAATAGAAAAATCAGAAAAGGGAGTGACAACATTGAAACTGGAGAAGACTTTTTACAAAAATCAGAAGAGATTTGAGGAAAAGAAGAACAGACTGAATGGAAGATAAACATATCAGGACAATTGTGGGAAATTGGAGTAATAGGGAGGCGATCTAATGAATAAAAATGGGCTCATTCTTCCAAAAAAACTTCAACTAAATGGTCTTTCTTATTCCAAATAATATATATAATAATAGAGGGAGAACTATTTGATGAATCAAAGGCACTGACTTGGAAGGTTAGCTGGCAAAGGAAGAAAGACAGAGTAAGGCTGAAGAAAATAATGGCTTTGATTTATTATTATTATTTTTAATTTTTATTAAGTACAAAGAAAAAAAAGGATTAAAAACATTGAACATGGTAAATCGTCTTTGACTGACATCTCAGTCCATATTGTACATTAATTACATATAATATACCTATATACAACTATACATTTCTAGTCTCTATCTCAGTTTATCTCTTTACTGTGACCTCCAGTTTTTCCCTCCATCTATAAAATTTATTCCATATTCGATAAAATTCCATTTCTTCCTGATTTTTTAATCTTTTAGTTATCCTACAGTATCTAGTTCTGCGCAATACATAATTTTCTTTATTAGTGCTTCCCCACTCGGTACTTCCATTGCTTTCCACTTTTGAGCAAATAGTATCCTTGCTGCTGTGACCACATGGATAATTAAATATGTGTCCTCTTTATTTACATTTTTCTCTAGTATTCCTAATAGTAATGTCTCCGGTTTGTATTGAATGTTTTGCCCAGTCCCAGACCATACACCAGTACACCTGTGCTTCTCTACATGTCCACCATACATGAAAACAGGTGCCCTTTTCTTTTTTACATTTCCAACACATAGATGAATATCCGTTATACTTTTTGGCTAATCTGGCCGGAGGGAGATGCCATCTGTAAACCGTCTTATACAGATTTTCTTTATATGATGTCGCCACTGTGATTTTGTTATTTTGTTATTTTGTTATTCGCTCCCATCCTTGCTGCCATTGATCCATATTTATATTATATCCTACCTAGAGCTATTGCCCATGTCACCATTGTTTCTTTAACCTGCTCCTCATATAGCTTATGTTCAACAGGTGTTTATAAATATTCTTTATTTGTTTTTTTCTCCGGGCCTAGCAGTATTTTATCTAACCCCGTATCTTGTCTGTTAATTCCCCATTCTTGCTTATCCTTCATGTATCTTGCTTGTATCTGGAGATAAGACCACCACTCCATGTCTATTCCTTGTTGTTTTAGCTCTTGTTTTTGTTTTAAATAACCTTTTTCTGTCAAGATGTCTTTATATATAATAGCTTTGTCTATCCTGTACAAATTGGGGTATGTGACTGCCTCCAATGGCGATAGCCAGGCTGGGATCTTTGTGTAATATTGATGTTTAACTATATTCCAGCTTTTTATTAATTCTTGCCGAACCTTATGTCTTAAAAAAATATTGGTGGTTTCTGCTTTGCCCCATCCATATGTGAGCATGCCATCCCTGCTGGAGGTCATAACCCTCTGAATGTAAACATCTTTTATTTTCTAAGGTTATCCAGTCTCTAATCCATGTTAGGGCCGCTGCTTGGTAATATAGCTCCCAATCTGGGAAACCTAAACCTCCCCTCTCTTTGGCATCCTGTAGTGCCTTTAATTTTATTCTTGCCTTCTTACCAGACCACACAAATTCTAAGGTTAATTTATTCAGCTCCTTAAAAAATTTCTTGTCTAATTGAATTGGAATATTCTGAAACAGGAATATCATTTTAGCTAAGATGTTCATTTTCACTGCAGCAATTCTCCCGAGTAATGAGAGATGTAAATTTTTCCAGCGGTCTAAATCTACTTTTATATTCTTGACCAATTTGCCATAATTGTCTTCTTTAATTGATGAGCAGCGAGCTGAAATAACTATCCCTAACTATTTTAATTTGGAAACTACTTGTATATCTAATTTTGCCTCAAGGTTTCCTTTTTGTATGTTAGTCATGTTTTTTGTGATAATCTTTGTTTTGTTTCTATTTATTTTCAAACCTGCCAGATCCCCATACTCTTCCAATATTTCAAATAATTTCTGGCCTGATTGTTCTGGGTCTTCTAATATAAATGCTAAGTCGTCTGCATAAGCTTGAAGCTTGTATGTTTCTTTCTTGATCTTAAGTCCTTTAATCTGCTCTTCTTGTCTTACTACTCTAGCAAGAATTTCTAATGTATATATAAATAACAATGGCGAGAGAGGACATCCTTGTCTTGTGCCTTTCTGTATGTTGAATTTATCAGTGGCCTCTCCATTTATTATGATCTGGGCCTTTTGTTCAGAATATATTGCGGTTATCATGTTTAAAAAATTTTCCCCAACATCCATTGATTTTAGTTGTTGGATCATAAATTGCCAATTAACATTGTCAAAAGCCTTCTGTGCATCAAGGAACAGAAGTGCCACTTGACGATTGCTATGCGATTCATAAAATTCAAGGATGTCTAAAATTGTTCTTATATTCCGCTTAGTCTACCTGTTTGGTAAAAAGCCATTTCGATCCGAATGTATGAAATCAACTAGGTATTTTTTGAATCTCTCTGCCATTATTGAGGCAAAAATTTTATAATCAGAATTCAATAATGATATAGGTCTATAATTTTGTATCTGTGTTTTTTCCGCTTCTTCTTTTGGAATCAATATTATATTTGCCTCCGACCAGGACTTAGGTATTTTAGCATAGGTTAATACAGCGTTGAAAACTTCTAGTAGGTATTGATTGAGTGCACTTTGTTGTTCTTTATATAGTTCCGCAGGTATTCCATCTGGACCAGTCGCCTTATTGATCTTTTGTTTATTTATAGCCCTGATTATTTCAGCCATTCTTATTTCCTCATTTAACATAGATTTTATTTCCTCCGGAATCTTCGGTATGTCTACCTTCCCTAAGTATTCTATTATCCTTCTTACATTTCCCCCCTCATTTCTCTTATATAATTTTTCATAGTATCTTTGAGCTTTGATTTATTAGAGGGGATACTATATTACTAATTAGAGGGTTGAATATGGTGGAAATTAGATAACTTTTAGAAAATAAAGTAACATAATTGAATAGCTAAGATGTGTAACAAGACTATTAGACTTTGGTATGAAAAGGGAAAAAGGAAGAAGTTGAGATAAGGGAAACTTTGGTCACCTAACATAAAATATTTGGAAATCATAAATAACTTATGTTTTTTTCCCTCTCTTTTTTGAATATTGATGAGAAATTAAAGTTTATGTATAGGCTAAAAAGTATTGATAAATGTAACAAGAATGTTTTAGTTGAAAATAAGAATTCTGTTTGCTCAATATGAGATAACAGATATTACTAGAAAAAGAGAGGGAGTATTTTAGCTTCCAATATTAGACCTAAACTAAAAAAAAATACGTATATTACTGAATTATTAGTTAACCCAGACAACACATATAAATAGTTTTGACTTATTAGAAAGGATACTGTATTATTAATTAGATGGTTTAACATGGTGGAAAACAGATAACTTTTAGAGAACAGAATAAAACTATAATCAAATAGATAAGATGTGTATTTAGAATATTAGACTTTGTTATGAAAAGGGAAAAAAGGAAGTTGAGATAAGGGAAACTTTGGTCACCTAAATATAAAATACTTGGAAATCATAAATAACAAATGTTAATTTGAATATTGATGGGAAATTAAAGTTTGGGGAAAAAAAAAAATAACAGAACATTGATTGTGTATCAGGATTGAATGCAAGCACAATTAAGATATGCATAAGCTAAAAATTATTGATAATTGTAACAAAGATGTTTTTATTTAGTTGATAATAATAAGAACTGTATTAGCCTAATATGAGATAGTAGATATTAAGAGGAAAAGTGAGGAAATATCTGGTGCTGTTACATGAGATTTATAATAAATATTATGCTATTGAATTATTGATTAACCCAGTCATCATGTTACTTTTTAAATGCTCAATTGTAAAATGAGACAATTAATAAAATATTATAAAAAAAGAATTCGTATCTGGGCTTGTGCTTTTATTAATGTGTTTTTAATGAATAAGTATTTTAATAACTATACAATATCATTTCAGGTTTTCTGTGGCTGAATCTGATTGCAGTTTAGCCCTTGCCTTAAACAAAAATTACACAAAGGCTTATAGCAGAAGAGGGGCAGCTCGCTTTGTCTTGCAAAATTTTAAAGGTGCCAAAAAAGGTACATGTTGTGTATAATGCATTCCTTTTTTTGTTGTGTTATGCAAAGCTTTTGATTTATAGAGTATATATTGGAGATGATCAGTACTACTTTCCACACACTGTTGTTTCTCTAATCTCAGCATAGAAGAATTTGGCCAATAGGCAATGTTCTTACAGATTGCCTAAGAGTTTTTCTTGTGTTATTGTGGGAAATATCTGTGGTTTAAAAATTTAAATACTAATATAATATGCTTTGTCTGATTTTTGTAGAAGAGACAATAGGCCAGTGATGGCGAATCTTTTAGAGACCGAGTGCCCAAAAACCGGCCTGCCCCCGCTCTGCCCTCCCACAGGGCCATTCACCACAGATCGCCCAGGCAGCCTTGCAGTGCCATGGCGGCCACGCCCTCTGCCTGCACCCCGCAGCATCATCTGCATGTGATAGGGTGCTAGGGAGGAGTCTTGCCCCTGCTGCCCGGCTGCCATGTGCTTGGCTGCGCTGCTCCGCGTGGGCCGCGCCTTGGTAGAGCCTCTCCTCCAGGAAGGCTGCTGGTGAGGAAGGGGTTGCAGGGGGAGGCAGGGCAACAGTACGTGTGCCCACAGAGAGGGCTCCAAGTGCCACCTCTGGCATGCGTGTCATAGGTTCGCCACCATTGCAATAGGCTATGTTAATAAATGGATAACATAAAATGAATTGTGGCCATTTTCAATCAAAATTAAAACAAGTACATACAAGAGTTAGTTTCTAATACTGTAGAATATAACTATAATACTCTAGACCAGTGGTTCTTAACCTGGGCGATATTGCCCCCCAGGGGGCGATTTCATTTTTCAGGGGGGCGATGGAACGAAAAGGGGCGATGCGGGGGCAAAGGAACGAAAAGGGGGCAATATGAGGGCGATGGAGTGAGAAGTTTTGGGGACACTTTTGAGACTTTTTCGTACAGTGAATCATTGTATATCTGTCGTACAAAAACATCAGATTGCTCGCTATTAGTGGATTGAATTGTGTTTTCAAATGTTCCTCCAGCTAGCTTCAGTACAGAATGCTGTACATATGTGAATATGCATTGGCTTCGTTTTCAAATTTTTGTTGTGCTTTGTAAAACATTTTGTGTGTCTCTTTGTATTGTACTTTTTTAGCGTGCACTCCAGTTTGATATTGTATTTTCTTTGTGTCTTTTTAATTCTTTTTACAGTGTGCATGACTATATATACTTTCCTCGAATCTTAATTTAGTTTCAGAGTTTTCGTCTTGAAATTCTTAGTTCCTGCATTGCGGTTTGTTCTTGTGCCCTTTTTATATTTCTTTTTGAGTCTTAAATTTCACTTGTAATTCAATCATTAAATGTTACTATTTTTCTTTTCAGGCATTTCACTTTCTTGCAATTGAATTTTGTTTTCAGTGGTCGTTACATTTAAGTGTCTTGAACAAATAAGATAATAATGAAATACATGTATCACGAAGTTTGGGAATAAAGTGATGGGTAGCACCAAAATTTTTCACAGTTGAGATAAAGACTGGAAATAAATTATTTGCATCGATATGTCCTGCTGACAATTTTAAAGAAAACAAAAAAAAAATGTTTGCATAAATTGAAGAATTATTTCTTATGAGAGGTTATGTTGGAGGAGGGGGGCGATGACAACTTCCTCATTGGCTCAAGGGGGCGATTCGTTCAAAAAGGTTAAGAACCACTGCTCTAGACAAATAGAATGTATTTCGGGAGTGATTTAATTTATCTAGTTTATCCAGTTTATCTATGAACCATGTCATATTTTATATAAAGAGGCACTACTGGTATCATAACGGAAACCTTATCATTTTCTTTTTTCAAACAATTGCCAATACAATCATAGTTTTTGAAAATTCTACCTTTATATCTTCATGCAGATTATGAAAAGGTTTTAGAATTGGATCCAAACAACTTTGCAGCGAAGAATGAACTTAGGAAAATTGAACAGGTAAAGAACGTCAACCTAATCAATTTGCCAATGGACCTTGATTTTTTTGTAGCTAAATATTTGAAACATAGTTTATATTTTTATATTAGGCTCTCTTGTCAAAAGAAAATTGTCAGGCTGAAGAAACAGATACTTTTAGGAAAGTGGAAATTGCAGAAGAGGAACTGAAACAATTGGAGGAGGAGCAGTTGAAGCAAAAGGCTATGGCAGAAAAAGATTTGGTAAGCAGCAATGCAAGAATATTTTTCAAGTATTTAAACTGGAATGTTTTTGATCTAAGGAGTCATTTCTTGGCCAGTGGAAGAGCTACTATGCTATTCATGGATTCATTATCATAATTGATGACTACATTTGCCCAGTATTGTTAAACTGATTTTTTCTGTGCTTGTTTCACATGTCAGTAATTTCAGGTGACACATTGCTTACAATTAATTGGCTTATGACATCTCAACTTAGTTTATAATTCCAGCAGTTATGCTAATTGTGGTATAAGGCAATGTAGTCCAAAACAGCTGGAGATATCGTGTTGCTTACTGCCTGATACCAAGCATACAGAATTCTATATAGCTGTCTGAAATTTTTCTCTGTGGTTAATTCTTCCTGCTCTACTCTTGCATATAAAATTATTGAGAAAAATGTTATTTTCATTAGTACATGAATGCATATATTTAGATTACCGCATTATTTATTTCTTTTTCCAAATATGATAGGGTAATAGGTATTTCAAAGCAGATAAATATGAAACAGCAATAGAATGCTACACACGTGGAATAGCAGCAGATGGCACCAATGCACTTCTTCCAGCAAATAGAGCCATGGCCTATTTAAAAGTTCAAAAGTGAGTTGTTTAGATATGCATTTTTATGTAATTCATTTTAAAATGATTTTTTTAATTTTTTTTTATTATTTTAGACCAACAAAACACAACAAACATTACACACATACACACGTAATATATCCTTTTTTGTTAACAGCAGTTCGTAACAATACTCTTGTATTCTTTACATTTCCCCCCTCTTTCTTCTTTGAAATATTTGTCCTTATTGTTTCTTATTTACATTTTCCTTCTTTCATATTCTACTACTTACTAGGAATTCAACATTATTCATTGTAGTAACTCTCATATTTTTTATAAGACTCGACTGGAATTCCATCTAAGCATGGTGATCATACAAATATTCTCATATTATTTAGTGCATATACTGTTTTTACTCTTAATACTATTTCCAACATTAAAATTCACTCCTTTTCATCCAAGTATATTGATTTAATTTTATTTTTCTTTGACACATATAATAATTCCTCCTTTCTTGTTTTATGCTAATATTGTATATAATGTTTCTAAATTTTACTTTCTCTAGTAATTTTCTTTTCTTTTTTTTCAAAATTTTATTTAAATTTTCAATACATATAATACTTTCCATACATTATATATAAAACTAAAAAAAAGAGAAAAATATCTTTAAAACAGTGGTTCTCAACCTTTTTATACCGGCGACCCCGGTCGTAAGCACGCGCCGTGCATGCACGGTGTGTCGTGCATGCGCAGTGCGCCGCGCATGCGCAGTGCCGCCCCCAGCGCCGGCTGAGGCATAGTCGGCAAGGGGCGGTGGCAGGCAGGCCCGGATGCTCCCGGGTGGCCGTGGCAGGCAGGACGACTACCGGCTGGGCCACCAGGTGGCCCAGCCCAAGGTAGGTAAGACCCGCTGGGCCCCATGCGTGCCAGCAACCCTCCCTGCACCCACTGCTGCCCCACTAGGCTTACCTTGGCCGCCGGCCGTTTGGGGCGTTGGCAGGCAGGCCCAGGTGCTCCCGGGCGGCCGCGGCAGCGGCGGCACAGGGCGACCACAGGCTGGGCCACCAGCTGGCCCAGGCCAAGGCAGGTAAGGCACCTGCCGGGCCCCACACATGCCAGCAACCCTCCCTGCACCCACCAGCCTCCCACCTCCCACCCCCGGCCCTCTTTTACTTACTTTTTAGTTGCTCAGCAGGGAGGGAAGCTCTGCAGACTATTACCCTTGCAGCACCGTTTGCAGACTGGGGCTTTTGGCAGGCTCAGCAGGGCAGAGACAGCCCTGGACAATTCCTATTGGCTTTTGAAAGCCAATAGAATTAGACTCTGTTCAAGAGAGTCTATTCTATTGGCTTTCGAAAGCCAATAGAATAAGACGGAGTAGCAGAGCTAAGGAAAAGGGGAAAAAATGGTGGAAAAAATGGCGTTGTTTGGCGACCCCCGTGAAAATGGTTGTTCGACCCCAAATGGGGTTGCGACCCACAGGTTGAGAACTGCTGCTTTAAAATAAGACCTTAGGTGTCGCTCGTCTATCTCCCCCCGACTGCGTCCGCCCTCTCAGCCTTCCTTCCTTCCCTACTCCCTCTCTCCTCTCCTCTCCTCTCTCCCCTCATCCCTTCCTCCCTTCCAACTTCCTTCCTTCCCTCCTCCTCCCCTCTTATCCCTCTTCGGATACAGTTCAGGGGAAACACCCGAGCGGCACCTCCCTCTAAATTACTCCATCTATTTCATACTTTAATATTTCTATATATACTTAATCCCACCCCTTCCCTCCCCCTACCCCCCCCCACTTCCCAGAACAAAATACAGGGTTATTATAAACAAAACTAACACAATATATAACTTTTAAAACAAAAAAAATTCTATACAATTAACAAATTCATATATTACCCTTAACTCACTCTAAACTTAACAAAAAAAATAATATAAACAAATCTACTATAAATCAAATATTATAAGAATCTATAAATAATAATTATAACCTTTAATCATAAAATAAATGGAACTTTAAAGTTCCATATTTATTCTGAATATAATCTATCCACTTTCTCCACACTATAACAAATTTTTCTTGTGTATGGTCTTTTAAATAAGCAGAAATTTTTGCCATTTCCGCTAAAGTAGAAACCTTAAGTATCCATTCTTCTAAAGTAGACAGCGAATCCTTCCAGTATAAACCTACAAGTAATCTTGCTGCAGTTATTAAATTCAACATTAAAATAGTTTCATTAACATCTAAATCCATAAAAATACCCAATAAAAATAGTTGAGGAATAAACTTTATCTTCTTTTTAAAAATCTTTTGAATGTTCCACCAAATCATTATCCAGAAAGCTTTAACCTTCTTACAGGTCCACCAAACATGAAAGTAAGTTGCATCAGTACTACCACACCTCCAACATTTGGGCTGTAAGTTAGGATACATACAAGCCAATTTTTTGGGATCCAAATGCCACCTATAAAACATTTTATAAAAATTTTCCCTCAAATTTTGGGCCTGTGTAAATTTAACATTTCTAATCCAAATATTCTCCCATTGATCCAATAAGATCGGTTCCTGGATATTCTGAGCCCATTTAATCATACAGTCTTTTACTAACTCTGTTTCCGAATCCAATTTTATTAATTCATCATAGATTCTTTTAATATGGGCATGATTCTGATCTTTAATCTGAACGATCAGATTTTCATCTCCTAATGTTATTCCAACTTTCTTGTCTACTGTCCACCTATCCACAATTTGTGCGTAATGAAACCATGAATATAAAATGTTTTCTTGTCTTAATATGTCTAAAGATTTTAACTGCCAATCTTTACCTGACCAAATTAATAACTCCTTATACGAAATTTTATCAAAATTCATCCCTTTAGAAATACCCTCAATTACATGTCCAGGAATCCCCCAAATAGGTATTTTATAATTTAACCTATAATAATACTTCTTCCAAACTCGAAGAAAAGCATTCCTTAAAATACGTGATTTAAAAGTCCGATCAACTTTCTTATTAAAAATCAAATATGCATGCCAACCATACAGTAAATCCCACCCTTCAATAGAAAGAACATGTTTATTTGTTAAATTAAGCCAATCACTTATCAAAGTTAAGGTGGCTGCATCATAATATAATTTCAAATTGGGTGCTTTAAGCTCACCTGTTTCTCGGGCTTCCTGCAAAATCTTAAACTTTACCCTTGGTTTTTTCCCAGCCCAGATAAATTTGTTAATACCCTTTTGCCACTCATCCAAATTTGCATCTTTTTTTAGAATAGGTAATATTTGAAACAAAAAAAGAAACTTTGGTAGAACATTCATTTTTACTGCTGATATTCTCCCCAACAACAACAATTGCAACTTTTTCCAATCATTTAGATCCTTTTGTACTTTTGCCCATAATAATTCAAAATTATTCTTATATAATTTACCGTTAGAAGCTGTTATATATACTCCCAAATATTTAACCTTTTTCAGCATCTAAAAACCTGTAAGTTTAACTAAAATTTCATTTTCCTTATTAGACATATTTTTAGATAACATTTTAGTTTTATTATTATTTATTTTAAAACCAGAAACATTTCCATACTGAGATATAATTTCCAACAAATGACCAACTACTTGAGTTGGTTGTGCTAAAGTTAAAACCAAATCATCTGCAAAAGCTCTCAATTTATACCCATTCCTGTTTACTTTTATTCCCTTAATTACCGTTGACTCTCTAATCTTTTTTTTATTGAAAATTTTTGCAGTTTTACAATAAAATAATCCCCCTCTCCCACCCACCCCTTCCCTCCCTTCACCCTGCCCCCTCCTTCCCAGAGCTGAATACAGGGTTAATAAAAACTAGAAAAAACCTTACAACTTAAATAAACATCAAACAATTATAAATACATTCAAAAAACAAAATTTTTAAATACTTTAACTCCAATATATAAAAACAAAACAAAACAACAATTCTAATCGTTACCTTAAACATAAATTATTCAAAAGCTAAGTAATACTTTTTAATCTCATATTTATGCTGTATAAAATTCACCCATTTTTTCCACACACAAAAATATTTCTCTTGCGATTGATCTTTCAAATAAGCCGAAATTTTTGCCATTTCAGATAAATAAGAAACTTTAAGAAACCATTCCTCTAAAGTAGGCAAAAACTCCTTCTTCCAGTATTGCCCTATCAGCAGCCTTGCCGCTATAATTAAATTCAACATTAAAATAATTTCTTTATCATCACAATCAACAATAATGCCTAACAAAAACAATTGTGGTGTGAATTTTATCCTTCTGTTAAAATTTTTTTGAATGTTCCACCAAATCTTAATCCAAAAAGCCTTTATATTTTTACATGACCACCAAATATGATAGTACGTTGCATCCAAACAACCACATCTCCAACATTTAGGCTGCAGATTTGGATACATACGAGACATCTTTTGTGGATCAAGATGCCACCTATAAAACATTTTATAAAAATTTTCTCGTAAATTTTGAGCTTGGATAAATTTAACATTCCTCACCCAAATTATCTCCCATGTATATAATTTTGAGCCCATTTAATCATACAATCTTTAACTAATTCTGTTTCTGAATCCAATTCCACTAAAACACCATAAATTCTTTTTATATGAGTTCGACTTTGATCTTTAATTTGTTTCAACAGATTCACATCCTCCCTGACCAAACCCACTTTTTGATCTATCCTCCACCTTTCTAATAATTGTCTATACTGAAACCAAGAATAATTAATATTGTCTTGTAATAATTCATCCATAGATTTTAATTGCCAATTTTTCCCATCCCAATTAAGTAATTGTTTATAAGAAATGCTATCCATCTTCACTCCTTTGCTTATTCCTTCTATTGCATGCCCTGGAATTGCCCACAATGGGATTCTAGAATCTATTCTGTAATATTTCTTCCAAACTTACAATAAAGAAATTCTTAAAATATGAGACTTGAAAACCCTAGCCACCTTTTTATTATATATTAAGTAGGCATGCCATCCATATAATAAATCCCATCCCTCCAAAAGGAGTATATTTACATTT